TATATCTAAAAGAGTGTTACGGCAAAGAGAGAGGGGGAGAGGGAAGTGAATCGAAAGAGGCTGTAATTTTGTTTTAACAAAATTATGTAAAAGATAGATTTCAATGCTTGATAGAAATTTAGATGTCTAAAAAATGATGAATGTTATCAATTTAAACATTTAGTTTTTTAAGTTTAGGGACTTAATATAAGTTAACTACTATTTTTATTGGCACATTAGGGATTTAATATAAGTTAACTACTACTTTGATTAGCACATTTATATATATATATATATATATATATATATATATATATATATATATATATATATATATATATAGATAATATTAGTGAAAATATACATACATATGAAAAATATATCTAAAAATTCCATACATGTATATTTTCAGAAAAATTTTCCAAGAGGAAGGATCCAGAAATCCACCCCACCCACATCTCCAAAAAATTTCTCTCTGTCACTCATCCTCATACTTACACTTTCTCTAAATTCTGTTTTGATTTCCGGAGTTGTTTTTTCTGTTTTCATTTTTGAATTTGTAGGTCTGATGATTTGGATCGTATTTACGATTCCAATGGAATAAATTATGACCATGGAATATTAGTGTTTAAGCCTTTTTATTATATATATATATATATATATATATATATATATATATATGAGAGAGAGAGGGAGAGGGAGAGGGAGAGAGAGAAGGAAAAGTAAATATTCAGAAAGATTACTTCTACTCACTTTCTGTCTTCTGCTCTTTCCATCGCACATTTTTGAATTCTTTTTTTCTTTCGTTTTCTCTGTTTGGCTTTTAAAACATTTTTAAGCCAGTTCAATTCATTAATTTCTCTTTTCTTGACCAATTTATAAGGTGATAATTATCATATCCATTATGTAATTTTAATTCCTATTGCAATATATTGCTCTGTTTAGTTAAAACATTGAGCTCTGTATGTGCTTAATTTTAATGTGCTTAGGTTTTAATCTTATATATTTTATATTTAATATTTTATGTTATATTAATAGGATTCTCTTGGGTTATATACCAACGGATTTTTACCTATATATATATATATATATATATATATATATATATAGATAGATAGATAGATAGATAGATAGATATATATATATAGAGAGAGATGTGTTTGTGTGTGTGCAGGTATGTAGAAAAATAGGAAAGAACACGTTAGGTGAATAATCCAGGGTTCTTTAGTATTTTTGTTTTTATTTTTAAAAACATTGCTCCATACAGAATTAGAGCTTAGATTATAATTATTTTTTTTTAAATATCATTCCTTCGCTACATAAGAGTTCTCATGTTTCAAAAACGAGAGCCGAAACCATCAATATAATTATTAAAATTAAAGTTAAGATGGTCGCCCCAGCCGTTTCCATAGTAACGAATGAACATGCTTATAACGATTAAACTTGAAAATGGGTTATTCCTGAATTGTCGCTTGAGGATGAAACAGGGCTTGTTACTTTAATTGAATTTAATTTTAATAATTATATTGATGGTTTCGGCTCTCGTTTTTGAAACATGAGAACTCTTATGTAGCGAAGGATTCATATTTTTTTAAAAATAATTATAATATATATATATATATATATATATATATATATTATAAATTGATTTATTTAAAATATGGTTCTTTTCGCTTATAATATAATATTAATGCTCTGTAAATTTACATTGAGCACTATTTTGTAAAAAAATAAAATAAAAATAAAAATATCTATAAGAACACCGGATTATATATTTTACTCTTCTTTCTTTTTTTTTTATATATGCATACATAACATATATATATATATATATATATATATATATATATATATATATATAAATATATATATATATATATATATATATATATATGTACCCAAGTATATAAATTGGTGTATACGGAATGAATTCCAATAACAATTACTATTCTTAAAAGAGTGCTCAATACAAATTATTAAATTTATGTTACAAATTTTTTTATAAAAAAAAAATATATATATATATATATATATATATATATATATATATATATATATATATATATATATATATGCGATACTATAGTTTGGAGATGTTAAAAAGCACGGGTAAGTTCTATGTAGTATGTATTTTTAAATGTGGATGTTAAAATATTTTTATCCATTAATTTGACAGATTTTTATCACTTTAAACGTTATTTTTAGAGGATATGCATATTTAAGAAGACTCTCTGTATATTTTAAATAGTATTTTTTATTTTTTCTACCTAACTGAACATTCGGGAAATCTTATTGAAAAAGGGTGCCATTTTCTTTAATGAGAAAATAAATTTTTAGTGTTATATGTTTTATTTTCCGAACACAGCACATTGTGGCCGTGTTCGTAGTTCATATTATTAACTTTTTATTAGCTTTTTTCTTTTTAAGTCTTCCATTATTTTAAATCTTTTTTTTTAACGGGTGGATGAGGTGATTGTGTTTGTACTAGTACTAGTATGTTTCTGATGGATTCTGGTAAGTTTGTGTGTGTGTTTAAATGGGTTGTAATCTAGTTGTGTTCAGATAGGTGTAACGTAAGGCGTCTAGATAGGTATGTAGTTGTATGACCGATGTAATTATTTATGAGTTCGGTTTGATCAGGAACACAGTTCCCTAAGGGGCATTTGATCTCATAGATAATGTTCGTTCGTTGTAATTTTGACTTGGTGTGTTGTTATTTTTGAGGATAAAATTAGCTGTCTTTAATTTTTATAGTAGATAATTAATTTGATTATTTTATTCGGGTCAATAGGGGTAGTTTATTTCTTTATGATATTTGTAAGTGAAGATTCATCTTGTTTGTAGTTGTCCACTTAGTTTTTGTACAAAATATTTATGTTGTTTTTGACTGTATGTTCACTATCGTTGTCATTTATTTAGGGGAGAAATAGTTTAATTTGGTGGTCTATGTGACCAAAAAAAAAAAAATCCGAAATTAATCATTCGATTCAATTTACGTGCACTAATTTCATATATGTATATAAAACTGGATACTTTATATTTTTAAAAATTAATTAATTCGATTAATTAATTAAATATAGAATAATTAGAATAAATATTCAGTATATTTATATTACGAAAGATATTTATTGATAATATTTACCAAGTTTGTTTTAATGCGCTATAATTAAATACAGTCCGAATGTAATCTAAATATATATTTGATACTTGCTGAAAGTCAATGTTATAAATTGATTAACATAAAATAAATTGGATGTATTATTAATTAACTAATTGTAACCAAACAAATACATAATTGATATGTTTGAATATTACGAAGAGGAATTTGCAATAATGATGAAATTCTTTCTTTCTCTCTCTCTCTCTCTCGCCCGCTCTCTCTCTATATATATCTTAAAAAGAAGAGAGAAACCGCCAACTTTTTGGGTTGTAATGTGGATTTTTTAAAAATATATTATGCTTTATTTTATTATGGAAAAAAAACCGTTTGCGGTATCTCGGATCTTTGTAATATACACACTTTTCTCTCGTTGGAACTACTATAACCTCTTCCTTTAATATATATATATATATATATATATATATATATATATATATATATATATATATGAGTTGTTGCGCCCTACGCGGCTGGCATCCCGCTCTCACCCCTCACTGTCGAAACTCCCAAATGTAGCCGTCTCTTCTACTCTAATAGCTTCATGTCTCGCACCTCTCGCCCGTGAACTCCCTTCCCTTCTCCTGTTTCCCTGCGAGCTATAATCTCCAGCTATTCAAGTGTAATGTCAATCGACAACTCCAGTTGCCTTAATCTATCTACTACCCTCATCCTTTCTTCTATCACTCCTATCTGATCTTGCTATTTCCTGTAACCCTTGCATCCTAGTGGCTTCCCTGCCTTGCTTGGGCGAAACGCTTAAAATATATATATATATATATATATATATATATATATATATATATATATATATATATATAAGGTATTTCAATAAGGCGGATCAAGAACAGGAGTAAATAAATCAGTGTTATTGGTGAAAATTCATTTATTTCTCTAGTGGATCATGTTACTTAAGTCATGGCAATTATATGTGAAAAATAATATCGCCCAAATGTCCGCCAAATCTGAATGAAAAGAAAAAAAATCATTAGACGCTTAAACTTAAGACACTTTGAAAATCGGTCCATATATATATATATATATATATATATATATATATATATATATATATATATATGAATAAAAATGAAAATAGAAAACTGGTAATTGCTGACGCAGCTTTCATCAATGTGGACTTTATCAAAGCAAAATATTTTTTTTTTTCGTATTTTGCTTTGATAAAGTCCACATTGGACGAAACGCGTCAGCAATTACCTATTGTCATTTTTATTCATAAATATTGTCTTCTACTGGTTAAATCGGAGAAATTTTCATATATATATATATATATATATATATATATATATATATATATATATATATATATATATATATATATATTTATTTATTTGTGTGTGTGTGTTTGGACATATATTTACAACCTAGACTTTCTTCATATATATCTATTGGAATTAAATATAGAGATATAAAAATAAAATAACATAATATTTTTATACCGGTTTTCTTCATGCAGTTGATCTCGACAGATTATATTCTTTCTCCTAGAATCTTCCAATCAGCAAAGTTGTAGTATAAAAAGACAGTTTGGTCTCTGTTTTTTGCGAAGTAAAACAAATATGCCGAAGCAGGTACTTGAAAAACGGGTTGAGCATCCGCCCTACAAACAGGCATTACGTTGTTTAATTTAGCGGCAAAGCAACAACTCTCTGTGTTATTTAATGCCGAAATGTACGTATTTAATAAAAATGGTTTAGTGATGCATGCTTTACTAATTAACCCATAGCTGGGGGCAGAAGAGGTGGCATTTGCGCGTAAGTGAATATAACGAACCCAAATGGAATTGGAATTCGGTTCACTGATTAAGAATTCCGAGCTATTATACATTACGCTACCCGAAATTCCGAGCACCTGATACTCGCAAGCAGTCACCCATCTTGGTACTGAGTAGGCTCAATTTCGCTTAACTTCAGTGATCGTACGGGATCTGGTGTTTCAATATGATGTCGCCGTTAACCTCAGACAGGTATACGCGGTAAAGAGTCGCTAGACATTTTATACATATTCGCTTTCTGAACATGAGGCGCGAGTTCGAAACTCACCAAGGTTGATTTGTCAGGAAGCTGGGAAACGAAGACGATTCATTATTATTTTTTTTTATTATATATATATATATATATATATATATATATATATATATATATATATATAAAGCCACCTTTATATATATATATATATATATATATGAGCCCCTTTTATACACACATATATATATATATATACATACATAAAAGCACCAGTTATAGATATATATAAGCACCCTTTATGCGTATATATATATTTATATATATATATAAACCCCTATATATATATATATATATATATATATATATATATATAAAAGTCACCTTTATATATATATGAGCTCCCCGTTATACACACACACACATATATATATATATATATACATAGATAAAAGCACCAGTTATAGATATATATAAGCACCCTTTATGCGTATATATAAGCACCATTTATATATATATAAACACCATACATATATATATATGTATAAAAGCCACCTTTATATATATATATTTATATGAGCCCCCATTATACACACACATATATATATATATATATACATAGATAAAAGCACCAGTTATAGATATATATAAGCACCCTTTATGCGTATATATGTAAGCACCATTTATATATATTTATATATATATATATATATCACTTTATATATATATATAGCATCCTTTATGTATATATATATATATATATATATATATATATATATATATTTATATATATGTATATATATAAGCACCCTTTATGCGTAAATATATAAGCACCATTTATATATATATATATATATATATATATATATATATATATATATATATATATAAGCATACTTTATGTATATATACAAAAGCACACTTTTAAATATATATATATATATATATAAATTAATGAGGTTTTGAATAATCAGGATTAATTCATGGGGTCTAGATGAATCCTCAACATAATGCAGAAAGCACTGGACGGCCGTTTCGTCCTATATTTGGGACTCATCAGCAGTAGCGCATCCTCTACCGAGAATCGAACCCGACTGCCACGATATGACCCAAGAGTCATACCCACTAGACCAACGGGTCTCATTGACGAGATAACAAACTAGACTCGATATAGAGCCTGCTCTTCTCAAAATCATGAATTTGTGCTATATCAATTTACCTATATATATATATATATATATATATATATATATATATATATATATATATATATATATATATATATATATATATATATATATATATATATATATATATATATATATATATATATATATATATATATATATATAGAGAGAGAGAGAGAGAGAGAAAAACAAACAAAAATTTAATATGTAATTATGCTGTATTAATGTTAATATAAAGTTAACATTAAAACAGCATAATTGCATATTGAGATTTTTGTTTGTTTTTTCTGTATATTTTTCTTCATATTGTCGGATCTATATCCATATATTTGCTTATATATATATATATATGAACGTGTGTGTGTTTGTGAATGATGACTAATCGGAAACGGACTAGAATGCAGTCGCTACAAAAGAAAATCTGTTTAAAACGTGATTCGCAATCCCATTTAAACGTTAACATCTGCTTTTTATTAAGTCGTCAGCCTGAAGTAAAAATGCCGTCGCCTTATGACATAGGCATACACGAAAGCAGAGTTTCGTAACGATGTACGTATTTGAATGTAGGTAAACGTGTTTCTCAGGTCACCTGTCTAAACTGTACGACATTGAGTCCCAGTCGGTCACAGACCACAGAGTTGCGTCCAGTGGACAAATCAACAGGAATGAATTTGTTTTTTCGCCGCTATTTTTTCGTCATTAAAATCCGCCATTAGTTCGGTGTCCCGGATGCGGATCTATTTCATATGTTTATTATTCGCCACCGATATCAGTCGTAGGGTGGCGCGGATCTGAACACCCGATCAGTTCCCCTTCCGCGCATGTCTGGGTTGAAAGCCGGAGAGGTATTCATTCATTCGTCGTGTATCGTTAGGAAGTAGACCTGGCGTAGACCGTCACTTTCCGGGTCAGACGACAGCCGATTTTCTCTAATTTGATGTCTCCTCTAGATCACGGTCATGGGGCGTTGATTCAGTCGGGGTAACTTGGCTGTTGCCTTCATTCTAGGAATCCAACCGTCCAGCGATGCCGTGCCATCAACTCATTAGCTGTATCCATAGCTATAGTTCCTTGTTTAGCCAATTGTGCCAGATGAGCGTCACCTCTACAAGAAGGTCCATCCGTTCTTTGACAGGACCTCGTCTTTTAATCTTAATGGTTGTCTAACGACTCTCCACAGTAATGAAGGAGCCGGTTAAGTCGGCAATGGCCCGACAAGGATGGAGATAGTACTGGGTTAACAATTACAATCTGGACCAGAAGTAGCACTAAAACAGGCCGATTGGAGGAGTTGGATGGTTGATCCACTGAGAACTGCGCAAATGAGTCGCGTTTGAACATGCAAGACAGCATTATATGCACAAAAACATTTCGAGGTTTGACTTAATTGTAATGTTTGTTTTAATTTAATTATTCGGTTGGTGCATCAGTTATTTTCGTTTAGGCGGAAGCAATTTTAATGACAAATGTGTCACCCTAACAACTAATCATACCTCTCACTTGGAGCAATTCGTGGTGTAATGATTTCTATTTTAATTACGATTGAGACGAATCCTCACAAGATTCTCCACATTCTTGATGCCGTGCCACAATTAAGCTACGCTTAGAAAATCTTATGAGAATCACGGTGGAATTGTTGGCAGTCTTGACTCACTAGAATAATTAAGACTGAGTGGTGAGTTCGATTCCCACTTGTTGCCCTCATTTTTTCAGCCTTGTGCAATATCTAAGCTACGCTTAGAAAATGTTATGGGCAACTCGGTGTAATTGTTAGCAATCTTGTCTCACTAGAATTATTACGACTCTGTGATGAGTTCGATTCCTACTGGTTGCTCTCATTTTCAGCCTTGTGCCATATTTAAGGTAAGTTTATAAAATCACCTTCACTGGCAGTTATGAATATAATTAATGTACACTATCAAAACTGTGATTTTCTACAGAAGTGACAGTCTATACAGTGGATTAAATAATACATTTCTCAACCCGACTAATGGAAGAATTATGTAAAGGAACAGGGCTATATAGTGTCAAGCATCAAAGAGTCATAACTAAATTCAAAATTACGTTCTATAGAAACGTCGTGGAAGCTAAACCCAGACTTCGGTATTCATCGGAATTTGATGTCGTTAATGGAGAGAAATCCGTGGTAAATTATTCGATAATTTGCAAAGATGTTAAACACATCACAATCTATTTTATACTGGCACTTTCAGACGGTCTAGAAAATGAACAAACTGCCTATTTTGGTTTCACATGCGAAAAGATAAAAGAGACCATTTATCCATCGTGGCAAATATCGTTTGAAAACAGGTAAATTGTTCCTGAATTATATCATAACAAGTAATGAATAGTGGGTTACATACAACAATGTTCAATTAACAAGTAATGAATAGTGGGTTACATACAACAATGTCCAAGTAACAAGTAATGAATAGTGGGTGACATACAACAATGTCCAAGTAACAAGTAATGAATAGTGGGTTACATTCAATAATGTTCAAGTAACAAGTAATGAATAGTGGGTTACATACAACAATGTTCAATTAACAAGTAATGAATAGTGGGTTACATACAACAATGTCCAAGTAACAAGTAATGAATAGTGGGTGACATACAACAATGTTCAAGTAACAAGTAATGAATAGTGGGTTACATTCAATAATGTTCAAGTAACAAGCAATGAATAGTGGGTTACATACAACAATGTTCAACGCAAAAGGCAATGGATTGACAAGCATAAAATCTTCACGAGCGACCCCAAAACCTGGGCTCCATGCCAGAAATGCAGTGTTGTGCGTGTGGTGGGTCTTATTCATTCAAACTTCTTCAAATACAATGAAACGCTAAATGTACATTTATACGCCCAGGTGCAGCCACGCGCTCGTCAGTAGGCCAAAATGTTGTTCTCCTATAACGACATCGCAATGCTGCATAAATCAAGAATAACACAGTATAAAGAACTGGAACTCGGTTGGTCTGTTCTAACCCACCAGCATTATTGCACCAACTTACCTCGCATCAACTGATTATTGTCTTTATGGATCGCCGCAGAACGCTGTTAACCCTGAGTGTAACACCGTTATTTTTACAGTTTTTTGCGTATATAGGTACATAACTCGTGAGCGAGTCAAAATGACTTAATTCCCTTTATAGTCTACCAATAAAAGATTAACCAATCAGAAGCCGCGGAACACTGTATCCGTCGTGTATAAAGGCGGCCATTTTTTTCTTCCTGAAGGACCAGAGGCAACTTGTCCGGCGAACATGACAGACGGAAGAACTACGCTCTGCTACTTTGCTGCGATTCTATACTCGAAGACGACCGTCATGAAAATGTCTAACAACTTCCTGGTTAGGTTAGGTAAGGTAGTTATGGGAGAGTGGCTTGTCCAAATACTTATATACTCACTATCTTGATAGAGCCCTGTAAATATTGATGATAGTGATAAAAGGATTGCGTTGCTATTACGAAAATAGGTAGGATAGTAATGAAGCAGTGGATAAGCAAATCAAAATCTACAGTATACTTATAAAATATGGAGCTGTCTATTTTGGTTCCACATGCTCTTAGCGAAAAGATAGAAGCAGGCCATTTATCCATAGCGGTAAATCTCGTTTGAAAACAGAGATGTAAATCGTTCCATAAATATATAACAGGTAATGAATAGTGGGTTGCATACAACAATGTTCAGCGAAAAAGGCAATGGATTGACAAGGATAAAATCTTCACGAGCGAGCCAAAAAAAAAAAAAGGAAAAAACTGCGTTTTATGAAAGAAATGTAGTGTTGTGCGTCTTATTC